GTGTTCCATCCAATGACATCAGAATATACATTTTCATCAGCACATGGGACATTCCCTAAAATAGATCATATACTAGCTCACAGAACATCCTTAAGTAAATGCAAAAGAACTGAAATTATCCCATGCATATTATCTGATCATAGTGCCATGAAACTAGAAATTAATGACTAAAGAAACTGCAAAAACACATGGAAATTAAATAATACATTCCAGAGCAATCAGTTCGTCACAGAGGAAATTAAAGAAGAAGTTAAACAGTATCTCCAAGCAAATGAAAATGCAAATACAACTTAACTGGAACTTGTGGGATGCAATGAAATCAGTCTTAAGAGGAAAATCTATCGCAGTGAATTCCCACATCAGGTGAAAAGAATGAACACAAATAACCTGATGCTACACCTCAAACATCTAGAAAAAGAACAAATCAAGCCCAAAGCCAGAAGGGCGGAAAGCATAAAAATCAGAGTGGAAATCAGTGCAGTAGAGATTAAGAAAACAATAGAATGGATCAATGAATCTACGAGTTGGTACTTTGAAAGAATAAATCAAACTGATAAGCCCCTAGGCCACCTTATAAAAAAAGGAAAGAAAAAAAATGCAAATTCATGCAATAAGGTATGGAAAGGGTAAAATCACTACAGACTATTGAAATATAGAAGATCATCAGTACAACTTTGAAAACCTCTACCCTCATAAATTTGATAACAGAGAAGAAATGGACAGATTTCTAGAAACATACGAAGTACCAAAGGTGGCTCAAGAAGATGTAAAACTGCTGAATACCCCAATTTCAATTAATGAAACTGAAAATGCAATTAAATCCTTAGCAACAAGAAAAACCTAAATCTTGATGGATTCACTGCAAATTCTACAAGAAATTCAAGGACGACTTGATGCTGACATTCCTCAAACTCTTCAATGAAATTGAAAGGGAAGCACTTCTCCGTAACTCATTCCTGAAAGCAAGTATTACTTTAATACCAAAATCAGAGAAAGACAACCAAAAAAGAGAACTACAGTCCAATCTCCTAATGAACATAGATGCAAAAATTCTCAATAAAATTTTGGCAAACAGAATGCAGCAAATCATCGAGAAGATTATACACCATGACTAAGTGGGATTCATCCCAGGAATGCAGGGATGGTTCAACATATGCAAATCAATAAATGTAACCCACCATATCAATAGAGCCAAAAATAAGGATCACATGTTTATTTCTATAGATACAGAAAGCTTTTGATAAGGTCCAACACTCACTCATGATAAGAATCCTATAGAAAATCGGAATAGATATTCTATACTCAATCTGATAAAAGCCGTCTATGAGAAACCAACAGCTAGCATCATATTAAGTGTCCAGAAACTGAAAGCTTTGCCTCGAAAATCAGGAATAAGATAAGGATGTCCATTATCATCACTCCTATTCAATATAGTGCTGGAAATACTAACCATAGCAATTAGACATGAGAGAGAAGTCATAAGAGGAGGGATTGGAAAAGAATTTAAATTATTATTTGCAGATGACATGATACTCTATATAGAAGACCCCCAACACTCCATTGAAAAACTCCATAGTAGATTCAGTAATGTAGCTGGATAAAAAGCCGACACTCAAAAATCATTCCTATACAAAAACAAAATCACTGAGAGAAATAAGAAAAGTCACACCACTCACAATAGCATCCAAAAAATTGAAATACTTAGTCAATCTAACAAAAGAAGTAAAAGATTTGTTTAGGGAAAACTATAATACCTTGAAGAAAGAAATTGAAGAGGATCTCAGAAAATGGAAAGACATTCCTTGTTCATTGATAGGAAGAACAGATATTGTGAAAATGGCCATTTTCTCAAAACTGGTATACAAATTTAATGCAGTTCCCATCAGAATAGCACTAGCGTTCCTCACAAATTATTCCTAAAATTGATCTGGAACCCAAAAATTCTAGAATAGGAAAGGCGGTTTTGGGCTACAAAGGCAAGGCAGGAGGCTTCCCAATCCCTGACTTGAAGTTATACTACAAAGCTATTGTAATAAAATCAGCATGATACTGTAATAAAAACAGACTTGAAGACCAGTGGGACACAGTAGGAGATGGAAGTACAACTGCAAACACACTCAGTCACCTTATTTTTGATAAAGGGGCCAAACACATTCACTGGAAGACAGTCTCTTTAATGGTGCTGTGAAAACTGGCTCTCCATATGCTGAAAACTGAAACTAGATCCATGTCTATCACCATGCATTAAACTAAAATCAAAATGGATCAAAGATGAAATATTAAAACAGAAACTTTAAATCTGCTGGAAGGCAAAGTAAGAAATCGTGAAAACATTAAGGGTAAGCATTGAATTCACGAACAGAAATCATCACATATGGGAAATACTTAGAATCTGGTACTGGGATCTTGTCTTACTGGAAAGTTTTTGCATGTCAAAAGAACTCTCCAACAGAATAAAAGGAAATCTATGAATCTTAAAAATTTCATTGTCAACTATCTCTCACACAGAGGACTTTTGTCTAGAGCATATAAAAAAAATCAGACCCCTGAAGTTGAAAGACTCAATCAAAAAATGGGCATCTGAGATAAATACACAGTTCTCAGATGAAGAAATACAAATGGTAAATACATGAAAAAATGTTCAGCATCATTGGTCATTAGAGAAATGCAAATTAAAACCACATTGAGATTCCATGTCACTCCAGAAAGAATGGCCCAGGATCAAGAAAACTACCAACAACAAATTCTGAAGAGTCCGTGGGGAAAAAAGAACACTTCTACACTGTTGGTGGTAATGTAGACTGGTGCAACCACTGTGGAGGTCAGTCTGGAGGTTCCTCCAAAAGCTGGGATTGGAAGTTCTATTTGACCCAGTTATTCCATTTCTGGGCATATTCCCAGAAGAATTGAAAATATATCATGATTATATATGTATATCCATGTTTATAGCAGCACAATTTGTAACAGCTGAATCTTCGAAACAACCTAAATGCCCATCAAATGCCCGAGGGATGAATAAAAGAGATGTGGTACTTTTATACAATGGAGTGCTACTCAGCTGTAAAGAATGATCACATGGAAATTTTTATAGGTAAGTGGATGCAACTTGAGATCATACTTAGAATTGAAATAAATCAAACTCGTGTAAATACTGTATTGTCTCACTAGTGTAAGAAATGGCAAGAGTACATAAGATATAAAATCAATAAATATTGTGAAAGTGTAAGAATCTGCTGAAAAGGGAAAAATAGTACCTCATGGAAAAGGAGACAAAAAGGAAGGGAAAAGAAAAAATAGCTAAATTTGTATAAACACATTTAAGATAGCTAAGATGATTGCTATAAATTCTATTAGCTCTTAGAACAAAATAGTTAACATTCATAGGATTGGATCAATTTTGCATGTTTGTGTCTGATGATCTGAGGAATTCTTGACAATCATTACTTAAAATAACCTTATTTATGTTCCTACCACCTTGTTTTGAATGCCTATCTCATTGTTTGGGGCTGTTTTGTATTGTTGTTCATTATCTTTTTTTTTTTTTTTTTCTAGTAGTTTTGTTTTTTCCTCTAATGCAGGAAGGATAGATAGCATGTAAAGGCTTATACATGCCTAGAACTTCTCAACAGTTTATGAGAATCAGGTGTATTATGTGTGAAATGAACAGCTACAGTGAAGAAAAAGAGACTTTATGGTATCCATTGCTGATTTCCTATCGTCAGGCTGCAAAATCCAGTAATGCTTTTATTCTTTGTTTACAGTGGGTTTAGTCTGTTTTGTGTTATTTAATTTCAACATACATGATGTTATGGACACCTGTTTGTAGAGAACAAGAGACATTACAGTAGCCATTGTTGATTTTCCTACTGTTTGATTTTGAAGACCTGTAATGCCTTCATTACTGTTTTGATTAGTTTTATATTATTATTTTGTATGAATTTATTGTGTTTGAAGATATAGACAACTATTTGGAAGAAAACAATACATTATGGTAGCCACTGTTGATGTCCTGTTGTCTTGCTTTGAAATCTGTCACTTACATTGTTTTCTTCTGATCTGCTTTGTTCTGTTTTGTTTTACTCTCTTTAAAAAAATCAAAATACAAAAAAAAAAAAAGGCTGGGGCTGGGGATGTAGGTTAATAGTAGACCACCCCTTGGTTCAGTCTCAAGGACTGTCAAACAGACTGACAAACAAACCAACCAAGCAACAAAAGACGTTAAGTATTGATGAGGATATGGAACCAAATGGAGCCCTTTTACACTATTGATAGGATTGTAAAGTATTACTATTATGGAGGGCTGTGTAGAGGCTCTTAAATATTAAAATTACAATTACCATCTGATCAGCAGTTTGCCTCGTATTTGCCCACAAGAGTTGAAATTAGTATGTTGAAGAGATGTGTGTCCTTCCATTTTCATTGCAGCCCATATGCTGATTCAACTTATGTGTCCATCAGCAGATAATGAGTAAAGCGTGTGGTATACCTGTGTAGTGGAATACGCTTCAGCCTTAAAAAAGAACTTCTGCATTTATTACAGTGTAGGTACAACTGGAGATTATTATGTTAAAAGAAGATACACAAGACAAATATTGCCTATTTTCACAAAGAAGTAAACCTTTCCTTTCCCAACTTTGCACATCAGTTATTTTTGTCTCAGCGACTAAGACACCCAGTTTGATGTAAATGGCACTGTGTGGTAATGTAGAAGTTCTGATGTTTTGTTCATTTCCAGGTTTCTGAGTGGATTTCAGATGCTTTAACCACATAAAATGGGGTGAGTGATAGATATGTTATCTTGATTTAATTATTTCACATTGCATGTATTCATTATAAAAGCATTGTTCTGTACCTCACACGATGGATTTTTTTTTTTTTTTTTTTGGTATTGGGGATCAAACTCAGGACCACACGCTTGCCAGGCAGGCACTTAGGCTGCTGAGATAAATCCCTGGCTCCTGAACCTTGTAAGTAATACAACTAGCTTGTCAGTTCATAATAAAAAAAAGAAGCACTTTTATTTTGTTTAACTGTTTACATTGGGGTTGTTTGCTTACTTACACAGCAACCTAAGATGGTGTGCCATCTCAGTCTGAAAATAGCCTCCAAATGCTACAGTTTTTGTAAATTAAAGGCTAAAAATTACCATCGAAAGGCAAACTATACTTTATATGTACACTATGGAAATCCTGTGCATTTTCTTCAGAAACTTATTTTAATATGAATATCCTTTTTTTTTGGGTCTTTTTGAGACAGTTTCATTGTACAGTTCAAGCTGGCCTTGAAATCACTTTATAGCCCAGCCTGGCCTCAAACTTGAAGCAATCCTCCTGCCTCAGTCTCCAGAGTGCTGGGATTATAGGTGTGGACTACCACACCTGACTAATAATATTTAAAGTTTGTTCTATTTTTGTTTTTCTTGTTCTAATTGAATGCGTGCCACATGCAGAGAAGTAATGTGAGCAAAAGTTTTCTGTTTGGGAATGATGAATTTCATTTTTCCACACAAAGTTTCTATGCTTCTGTAGCACAACGGGAGAGGCCTTAATGTATCAGACATGCAGTGTTGTAAAGAGGTTGAGAGAATGAAGATTGAAATCTAAGTAAAAATGGTGATCTCAAACGAAGCCTAAGATTAAATGAGGTTGTACATCTGATAATGAATAAAGAGTTGCAAATGAAAGTATACAATGAAATGTTCTGCCATTTGATGTTAATGACAGTATATTTGATCCCTAGTGTCTGAATATATCAGAGTGGTAAAAATGAAAACACCTTTCCATTGAATCAGGAATTAGATACAAGGCTGCAGTGATTGGGTGGAGCACAGCCATGTAAAATTGGACTGGAGAAGCACGAAGTTAGTAAGGAAGTGGAAGACTACGGTATGGTGGATTGAAAACTAGTGGTCAGCAACATTCAGCTGAACTGAATCAGATGGTGCTGCGTGTGGATGGCCCACCTGAGGATTGTTGCCAACATAAAAAGAGGACCCAGAGAGGAAGAAATGTTGCTGTTGATTGTCCTGTTGCTATGGGTTCTTCTGGAGGAGCTCGTGGAGCTTCTTACCTGGTATGAACTTGGCTGTTCTCATCATCAGAGAGGTCAGGATCTTGTTGTTGCTGAGTGTGGCTGCATTTCACTTAGGGGGATCTCTGGTCCTTATGTTGAGTATTGCTTGCTGTTTCTATAGAGGAAGATGGTGTGCTGCTCAGTCCCCAAGAGAAGTTTCTCACACTGGCCTCCTGATAGGAACTTGGCTGTTGATGTTGTCAGAAGACCTTGGGACCTCATTGTCACTGAGGATGGTTGTGGTACTTTTCAGGGAAGCTCTTGTTGAGTGTTGCTTCCTGGCACCAGTGCAGACCCTGAGCCTACTGGCAAAGACCTTTCACAGACTTTCTAGCTTCCACTGCTGACCTTAGGGCCTTTCCAGTGTGGATCTATGAAACAGACTCACATGAATCATTATTGTGGGCTCTAGACCACAAGCTGGACTCATAGTAGGCATTGTCATGGGCTTTAGGTCTTCAGCTGAACTCATGAGGACACTGCTATGTGATCTAGGCCCTCAGCTGGATTTTTTTGGGTCTTTAGTTTGTGGACAGATTTCCTGCACGTCTTGTATTTAACTCTTTGGGTGACAATTAGAAATTAGTTCTAAGATGATAGCAAGTAATCTATTAACCTGTGATAGCTGTTTTTTTTTGTAGTTCTGAATTACTTGTACCCTTATACTGTTTTGTTTTGTTCTGCTTTTTTTCTCTTTTTCCTTTTAAATAAAATATAAAAAAAAAGAAATTAGTTCTGTACATTATGTGTCCTGTATTGTCCTGTTCTCCTTGCAAACTGTGACTACAACAGACATTTAAAACATTGAAGGATCAGAAAGCTAGAAGAGCTAGAATAGCTAGAATAGAATGGAAAACATAAGGCCCTGAATTTGATTCCCAGAAAAAAAAGAAAAAGGAAAAGAAAAAGAAAAAACCTGGAATAAACAAAATGGTAGGCTGAAGTGATGTTTTCTCATGTTATAGAGATTGTGTTTGGCCCAACCATGTATGAAGAGGAGATTTAATATGATTAAATAGAACAAAAGGAAACTGATAGTAAAGTATAATATTTTACAAGTGTAAAATTAATGTTAAGAATGCAAAAGTCATTTTTATTATATAAATTTGACATGGATGTATAATGTTAGTAGTCTTTTTGGTGGAGTTAAATTCTTTGACAGATTAGCCACATTATTAAAAATTATGTCACTGTTTTTGAGTTCTTAACATATGCATAGAGTGAATTCAGAATTTTAAGAATACATACAAGTGAATTGTGAAAGCCAGCCATAGTGATGCATTCCTGAAATCCCAGTACTTGGGGAGACCAAGGATCAGTATTACACATACAGAATTCCATGTAGGAATGTTACGCTTACATTGATAGTTACACAATAACTGCTCAGGATAGGGATATATATATTATTTACGAGTATTAAATTAGAACTTTAAAGAATACACCACCCCCCCCCCCCCACACACACATACATGTATTTTTTTTTGTTTGTTTGAGACAGGGTTTCACTGTAGTTGCAGACTGGCCTTCAACTCATTTTGGTTCGCCTGCCTCAGCCTGAGTGCTGGGATTACAGACGTGGGTACCATGCCCGATGAGAATATGTATTGTGGAAAAGAGTAAGTTAATATACTGACTGGAGAAGTTTTGAAAGATACTTGGTAGATCAAATATAGTTCTTAAACTATAGGCAGTTTGTACTCCTTAAGAATCTTTTTTTTTGTCTTTGACAGTTCAGGCTGGCCTTGAACTCACTTTGTAGCCCAGGCTGGCCTTGAACTTACCAGCAATTCTCTTGCCTCAGCTTCATGGGTACAGATATGCATCACCATGCCCAGCTTTCCTTATGAATCTTGAACCCACGGAACTTTGAATGTGTGATAAAAATTAGTATAATATTCACTGGGCGTTTTGTCTGGCATTGTATAATGCTTTACATAAATCAGAATTAAAACTAGGAATGATAGTGTATGTCTGTTCCCAGATAGAGGGAGGGAGGCTAAGGCAGGAGGATGACAAGCTGAAGCTCAGCCTGTGCAGTTTAGCAATTTATTGAGACTGTGATGTCTCAAGAAACTAGGATTGGGGATATAGTGTAAATTCAATACCCATCATGCTTCCTCCCTGCATCCTTTCCAAAATGCACAGTATGCATTTCAGGTACTTTATTAGTAGAATACTTTTCTCATTTAAGATGAGATACAAATTAATAGATAATAATCAAACTTTACAAATAAAGTCTTACGTTTTTATATAGAGTGGACATCATCACAACCGTTTTCTCTATTTAACTGTTCTAGGTATGGTGGTGGTACATAATGGCACTTAATGAACAGAGGGATGACTATGTGGTTTAGGAGTGGTGAAAAGAATTATAATAGCATCTAAAGTAGGAGTAGGTCTACACAGACCAACTTAAGAAAATGGCTTGGGCATGTGACTTAGTAATAGAGTGTACCAGGTATGCCAGGGGCCTGGGTTCAATTCCTAGAATAGATGTGCGAATAGGAGAGGGCTTAAAAAATAAACTTCATTGGAGATTTGTGTAAGTATTCTTTCTAAATGTAGGGTTTAGGCCTAACATGATGGTGCACACCTTGAACCCCAACACTTACGGAGGCTGAGGCAGGAGGATCATGACAAGTTTGAGACCCTGTCACAGATAAACAAACAAACACAGGGTGTAAACTCATACTTTTATTGAATTTCTAAAACTTAACACCTAGCTAGTAACTTATAATGTCTTTATGTAACAAGTTACACAGGATAGTGGAAACAGTGAAGCATATTGTAGAGGGATCTTGTGCTTTGAAGTGAAAGAGACCTGGATTTCTATCATTTGTTAAATGTGTAATAGTGCAAATTACTATGGAAGAAAGCTCAAAGGAGTTATCCAAAAATGGGGACATATGCCTCTGTATGTAAAGTGACTAGTGCATCCTTATGAGATATTTATCAATAAACATTTAGTAATTTCTATAGTACCAGACAAGTGAAATGATTCCTAGGAAACTGAATATTTAAGCTGTTGAAAATATATTTATATAGTGGTTATAAGCTGAGTAAATTACTAAGGAAGGGATTAATAGAAAAATAGGAGGACAAGTGTTTCTATGATATAGGACAGTGTTGTATGAAAACTTTTGTACCAATTATTAGTCATACCTGGGGTTCAGGAGTTTTAGTAAGCTTTATGTAAGATTTAACATGATATTGATTTAATTTTGAAAAATTCTAGTGGGAGCTTATTTCCTATTGAAATCACAATTGTGAAATCACTGATTATCTTGAATCAAGACTAATTCTACATGAGTTAATAATTTTAAGTATTTGTTTCCTAGTTGAGTATAGTACAAACACAGTTTATACTCTTAGGTGACAAGGTATAAGAAAGAAAAAACCATAAAAATTGAGGAATGCCAGTTTGTATTTTAAGACTTAGTTTCATTAACCCGTAATTGTCAGAAATTGTATCTTTTCCCTTTTTAGTTTTAATAGAAGGTAAAAACAAATAGAATGATGTTAACATTATTGGATCTGATTTATATAATTAATTTGTGCTCTTTAATGTTTTATCTATGTAGTATAATGCATTTATTAAAAAAGGAGCATACAGCACATTATCATTCTATGGAAATTTTTATAGTAAACAATACCAATTTTTGGCCTAAATTCAAAGACTTAATACATTAAGAAAATCATAATCAAGGCTGAAATCTTAAACTATGATTGTAAATTTTATAGGAAAAACCTTGAAGTTATAAATCTTAATGTTTGTGGTTAAATTTTCTATAAATAGGTTTTTTTTTTTTGTACCAGGAATTGAATGTAGGAACTTGGAGGTACTGTTTTGCTGAGCTGTATCTCCAGCCTGTTAAATAGTATTTTTTTTCTTTCTTTTTTTGGTACCAGGGATTGCGCTTTGGCAAGCACTTAAGCCACTGAGCTATATCCCCAGCCTAAATAGTATTTTTATTCTGATAAAAACACAAACTGAATTGAGTCCTTTTCTGTATATTTCCAAAGAACTCACTTGTAATGAGCAAGTGTTTAGTATCACATAGTTATGAATTCATATTATTAAAACCTGAAATTTTTTCTGTATATGCTAATCTTCTAAGTGTGTTGCAGGACACTTTCAATTAAATTCTAAAGCTAAATGGTATCTTGACTTTAACATTAAAAGTATCTTCAAATAAACACATTTCTAAAACACACTGCCATTGTGCACTGAAGTTACTCTCTAAAGATGGAAAGCTTTGCTTGTTTGGCAAAGCCGATTATTAGGTCTAAATTTATATGTGGTCAAGGATCTACTTTTCTTCTAAACGTTCTTTTACTAATTTTTCCAAAGAGAAAAGGTGCTCATCAGCATCTTCTGGCACAAGGCTTCTAACAGAATTTGCAAGTTCAAAAAGATACTCTGTATTTCTTCCACTTGGACCAGCTGCATTAAAAATTTGTTCCGCAATGTCTTCCAGAGGTGCGGGACCAAGATAATTAGGATTATCACACGTTCCAATGTATAGCAACACGCTGAATGGTTTTGTTGTGGGATCTTTTGGATAAAAAACGACTGTTATGGTTCTGTAGCCTCCTTTCTCTCTGAAGTCAAGGGATGCTTTTATTTCTTCTTCTTTTCCTACTGGAAGTTTGTAAGCCACACCCCATACACATCCCTGTTAAAAAAATAAGAATAATTTACTATTTACAAGGCTAATGAAAATAGTGATGATAGGTTACACTGATCTAAGAAAAAAATTTATAGTCTTAAAAGTCAATGCATGCACTACTTGCCCTGACTAAGCTCAAAGTTGGGATTCTCCTGCCTCAGTCACCTACGGTTGTATAATTGCAGGTGTGCACCACCAAGCTTGGCTCTTAGTTTCTTAAATATTTTTAATCATTTTATTATGTACAGATTTAAATTTTTATATTGTGAAATTAAAGATGTGACTTTGGACAGGACTTTGATACACAAAAATCAAGCAGCTAGCAATAACAAATTAATGATGGTCTAGATTAAATGCTTTCATAGCTTCAAATTGGTTACTGTAACTTCTCAAACAGTTAAACAAATGACACTCTCCATAGATTTTCTTGGGTTGTTGGTTTGCTTCTATATAATTTCTTAATGACCAAATGAAAACTGGGTAATTTTTCATTTCAGCCCTATTAGTTTAGCTTTTTAATTATCATTGTTCTTTGTTTTTTTTTTTTTTTTTTTTTTTTTTTGTCTTTTTCCTTTTCATCGGTACCAGGGATCGAACTCACGACTGCCTGCTTTCAAGGCAGGCGCTTATGCCGCTGAGCTAAATCCCCAGCCCCTGTTTTTTGTTTTTTGAGAGAGTCTTGCTCCATAGCCCAGGCTAGCATGCCTATAATCCCAGCATTCAAGAGGCTGAGGCAGGAGGATCACTGGGAAGTTGAGGCCAGCTTGGGCAATGTAGTAAGACTATCACAAAAACAAAAACAAAACATAGCAACACAGTTTGTAATAGCTAAATCTTGGAAACAACCAAGATGCCCATGAACCACAGAGTGGATGAAAAAGATGTGGTATTTTTATACAATGGAATATTACTCAGCTATAAAAAAGATTAACTAGAGGCCTTCATAAGTAAATGGAGACAACTGGAGACTATCCTCATTAGTGAAATAAACAAGAATCATATTTATAAATATCACATTGTGTCTGTAATGTAAAAAGTAATAAAAAATGTAGGATTAATAAAACCCAAAACGTGTAATTGCTATTGTAAAAAAGAGAGGAAAAGAAAGTACTCTAAAGGATATAACTGCATGTATGTTTACGTGTGTAGGATTGATAATCATATTACCAGGTTTTTGTTGGACCGTTGAACAGAACAGTTTGCACTCTCAGTGTTTGAATGTCCACTTTGTATGCTTTACTTTTGTAAGTTGAACAACTATTTCTAAGAGGACAATATGTAATTTATCAACTAGTGATTTCTTACTATTTATGTTTTTGAAATTATGTATTATTTCTACCCTTTTTCTGTTTTTTTTTTCTCTTTAAAATAAAATTAAAAGAAAACAAAACAAAAAACCCAACAGGGTCTCAGTAGTGCTTCATGCCTGTTTCATAAACGTAGCCAGGTGTTATGGTGCACGCCTGTAGTCCCAGCACTCCGGAGGCTGAGGCAGGAGGACCACTGTGCGTTTGAGGCCAGCCTGGGTTACATACTGAGTTCTAGGCCAGCCTGAACTGCACAGTGAAATCTTGTCTCAAAACGAACAAAAGGGGGCTGGGGATTTAGCTCAGCGGCATAAGCGCCTGCCTTGCAAGCAGGCAGTCGTGAGTTCGATCCCTGGTACCGATAAAAAGGAAAAAGACAAAAAAACAAACAAAAGGGTTGGGGATATAGCTCAGGGGAATAAGTTCCTGCCTGGCAAGTGTGAGGTCATGAGTTTGATCCTTGGTACCAAAAACAAACAAAAAACAAAACAAAACAGCCAGCCAACCAACCAACCAACCAAACAGAAAACCTCATACCAAACCAAACCAAACCGAAGCAAAATGAGTTCTGTTAATAAAACTTGGCAATGCAGAAAGTGAAAATTCCTGACTTTAGTTTTATGCTGAGGATATTAGACTTTTGCATACATGAAGAGATTTTTCAATGATCCATTTGATTCTTAGTTGTAGCCTAATTATGTAGACATTTCATTAATGTCACTAATCTTAGCAAACTCATTTTTAAAAATTCACAAAAGCAAGAGTACATGTCATTGGGCTGTACCTTGCATTTTACATTCTAACTTTTCTCACTGGTTTATTTTTCATGAACAAAATATCTCAACACAGAAGAGTTCTAGATTTAGTGCAGTTCAGATCATCTGTGATGACTACTAATAAAGTTTCACTGTTTATTAAAATGAAATATCTTACCATTTCATACAATTTCTTGTTTTTTTAAAAATCCATTTTATTTCAAGGATAAAATACAAGGATAGAAAATAAAACTACAACAGAATTTCAGAAACGTCAATGAGGGTCATACAATTTAAAAACTATATAAAAAGAATAATTATACCATACCCCAGGATCTTCAACAAGAGTCACAACTCTTCCAGGCTGTTTAAAAAAGAAAAAAAAAAATTTTTTTTTTTTGGTGACGTAAAGTTACTTAAATGGGCATTATGACTTACTGTTGGCATGAAATATTTTAGCTATATTTTCTCTTAGGCATTTAAAAAAAACTTATTTTTTATGATAAGGTTTAAAATGAATTAAGAGAATCTTCCTAATCCAAACTACAGTGACCTTTCTAAAACAGACTTCCATCATTCTCTTTAAACTGGGTGTATTGTGTCCTTTAGAAGTAGACACATTAAAAAATACAGCAGTGACTTAAGACTTAGGTAAAATAAAAGACAAATGGGAAGCATCATTATTCAAGTTCTGGTTTTACTCCTGGGAAGAAAGATTGCTAACAGTTTAATTAGAGAAATTAGTCTAGGTTATATTCATAAAAGAAAGTGATTTTCAAACTTTGATCAAATTATCTGGAGGACTTGCTAAACACACTTTGCTAGCCTTATAACTCCAGACTTTGATTTTTTAGGTCTGGAGCCTAAGAATGTGCATTTGTCACAATATTCAAGGTCATTCCTATTATATTGTTTTGGAGTTCTTTCATATTGAAACCCTTAGACAAAATGCAGAACTGGAATATTCCATCATTTAAGTCACAAAGGTGACTTAAGCCAGTGATTATTAGCTTGCTTTATTATATTACTGCCTAGTACCAAAGGTTATGTATCTCCTGGCATGTTCATATTAGCAAAGAGGTCAAGCTGCAAGTCAGTTTTATCTACTTGTACGCCCAGTGTCTATACAGCCTAACTCCCTCACATAATTTGTGTCACCTTTGCTACTATTTCCTTTTTGTCTTCATTTGTATAAATAATAAAATCACTGTTGTTGAGTTCTTCCTTTTGAAATTGGTTCCTTATTATCTTTTAGTGACCTAGAGAGTCCTCTGCCTGCCTCTTTATTTTTCCCTCCAGTTTGTTCTCTACTTGTGCTCACAGTGACTTTAAATTTGTTTTTTTTTTTTTTTTTTTTTGTCTTTTTCCTTTTTATCGGTACCGGGGATCAAACTCAGGACTGCCTGCTTGCAAGGCAGACGCTTATGCCGCTGAGCTAAATCCCCAGCCCCCATGACTTTAAATTTGACTTTAAATTCTTCCAGATTGTGATAATTTACAGGGTAAAGTTGAAATTCATTAGCTTAAGTTATGCTTAGGAACCTATTTTTTTCTGCAAACCTCATTTCTTTCCATTTTCCCCAAAAATGTATTGAATTATTTATTGAATAATTCTTAGAAATATCCCTGTCTTTGCTGTGCATGATGGCGTATGCCTGTAATCTCATCACTAGAGACTTAGGCAGGAGGAGAATCACTGTCAGCAGGAGGCCAATCTGTACTATATACATGATCCTATCTCAACAAACAAAAAACTAACCAAACAAAAGAGAGATACTCCAGTCTTTGAATACACTGCTGCCTACGGTTGAATGCTGTTCCATCTTTTGTTTACCTTGCGTATCACCTGCCCACTTCTTCAGTTTTAGCTCCTTCATGAGGCCTATTTACATGTCCCAAACTCTCACTACTTGCTTTATTCGTTTCTCTTCTAGCACTTAACAAGTAGTTTTGTTAACATAGTTGTTTCCTCTGTATGTAAGTTATTTGTTGTAATTAGTGCAAGGGAGAAGAGGGGTAGTGAAGCCTGGGGCATAGGTGGTGGCAGGTGAAATAAAACAAGGAATATGTAGGGAATTATTTTAAGTAGAAAAACTAAAATCTTGTGCCAGTTTGCTAATGGTTGATACGGACATGGACTGTTGGTAAATTTACTAGGAAATGTTTTCTAAAAGTTCAACTCTTTGTCCTTAAAAATAGATGTTGTAGAGAAAGAATATAAATTTGTAAATGCGCTTACATTTCTTTTTTTGTGGGGGGAGCAGTGAAACTGGGATCTTTCAGATTGAATGGTATTAGAGAAGGAAAACAGGACTCATGACGGGTGTTTCATTGGGTAATTAGTATTGTTTCTGCTCACACTCTCGTATTAAAATACTTCCTGTTTTGAATTTATGATATATTTAATTTGCAAAAAGTCTTTCACATTTAATAAAATCTGCCAATTTTGTGATATATAAATGAGATAGAGCTTCAAAGCAAACATAATTTAATAAATCATGTAGGTTCAGTTTTTTTCCTCACAGATGTCCTCGTACACTATGTGGAAATGAATATAATATTTATGTATTACTGATGAGGCCTTTCTGATGACTCATGTTGCTGTAAAAAACAACTTGTGGCTTAAACAGTATGCATTTGCTGGATATTTCTGTAGCCTTTTGTGTTTTTGTTTATCTGATAATTACTGTTTATATAAAGCTGGCAATCTATTTTAACCAAAAAAATGAAGTAAAGAATTTAATGTTATTTCTAGTTTTTTTTAGAGCTCCATACTTGCAAAATGTGTAGTGTTAGCTTTTCATTTAATTTGCTAAAATGGAGTCTATAAAAGCTGTTAGCCCGTGCACTCCCCTCCCCTTCCTGTATTTCAGTACATTTTAAGTACAACAGGTACTGGCTTTTATATATAACTCTTCTACTTTTAAAGACTCATGGGTTGTTGTATTAATTAGACAATTTCTTATCTGTCTGAAAGGATAAATATCTCAGTGTGCTATGTAACAAACATGCATTTTGGTTTAGAATAGTAAAATAAGCTGTTGTAACCACAGATACATATTTAATGTTAATAGTCATGAAAAATGGGAACCTCAACTAAGGCTTTAAAAAAAAAGTATTCATTTATTTATTTATTTTTTTTCTTTTTGAGACAGGGTCTCTCTATGTAGTTCAGGCTGGCCTTGAGCTCACTTTGTAGCCCAGGCTGGTCTTGAACTCCCAACGATCCTCCTGCCTCAGCCCCTCAAAGTGTTAAAGCCAGCTTAAAATGTTCACTTAAAGCCAGCTTAAACTGTTCATTTCAAAACTGACAACTCAGGGCTTTTATTTAGTTCTTTAAAGTCTTGAATAATGCTTGTTGTTGATCTTGAATAATAAAGTCTTGAATAATATATGTTCTTGGAAATACTTTGGCCATCATGTTTCTCTTGGCTAATCACTGCATCAGGGCTAAGCCACATCTCCTTGTTCAAGTCATGCTGTCCATGTTCATAGGACAGTACAGTTTATTTTGAAGCCAAATTCTTAGTCGACCAACTCTAGCTGTGGCAGAATGGTTTCTAATTCAGGTTCTTTTCATGATTTCAAATCCTATGTCTTATGAATAGGTGCAAACTATTTTAGAACCTTAATCTCTTTTCCTTTCCAAGGTAGGGTGTTACTTGTAAGAAACTGAGAACTTCACTTAACTTGATAATCAAAATTATTACTTACCGTAATAAACCGGAAATGAAGTTAGAAATAGTTCTGTGATCTTAGGTGTCATAAATCGTTGGAAAAGCATAAAAAAAAATTCTAGCATGCAGCTTTAAACACAAAACTACTGTTAGTAGAATGAACACTTAATTGCTAAGGCACTGAATTTGCAAGTTAATTTAGTGTTTCCCCTCCATAGTGACATGAAAATTAATTTTCTGTTTCTGGCAGAGGTTGTTCCAATCTGCTCAACAGACTTGTTAGAGCCCGTACCGTGCTTTTTGGTGCCCCAAGAAACCAATCATTAGCCCTTGAAGCGATGTAACCACTTCAGGAGTGTAACCACTGACAAATGAAGCGGCTTCAAGAGTGCGCTGGTATGGGAGGGGTGTGGGTCAAGGGTTGCGGGTGATGCACGAATATTACCGCGTTACCCGGAATGGGGTCCCCGCGGTGATCGGGGTGCTTACCTTGCCCGGGACTCCTCGGTGGTCGGTGCTACCTTGCCAGAAGCGCCGGCTGTAGTCTGTGATGTATCCGACCAGCCTGTCCTGGTAGGGGAAATCCACCTTCCAGATCAGGGACCCGTAACCAAACACCCACATGTTCCCTGGCTTCCGGGTGCGCTCTGGGCGCGGCGCCCCGGCGGTAGCCGCTTCCCAGATAGAAGCAGTGTTCTCGGGCACCACTGCTTCCCAGTCCAGGCAACAGGACGCGAAAGGGGTGCCGCTATGCGCAGGCGCGGCGCAAGGCACGCCGGGTACGGCTGAGGCGCTGGACGGAGAGCGGGGAGCGCTAGTCCTTGAGGTTGGCCAGGCTTAAGTTACTCCGTGGGTAGAAATCCGCCAGCGCCTCTGCGGTCTTGGAAGCCCTGGGTGGTTCTGTGTGCCCGGCGTGGCGTCCGAGGGCCGGGCGGCTTTGGATCCAGTATTTGTGGCCGGAGTGCCATCACTCTGAGTTCTAGATTTTTAAAAAACCTGCCCGAGGCATTGCAGAACAGAGCAAAATTGTACATTAACTTTTTTCACTGGAAACTGTTGACATATCTGAGCTCAACTTCTGCAGCCCCTACAGAAAGGAGCAGCTAAGGTTTTTAACGCAGGGCCCTTGGGAGCTTTGGAAATAAGCTGGGGATCCTGTGTTTCTTTGGGGCTAGCTTTCTACAGCTACACCCCCAACTCTCTGGATCACATTTGCTTTACTCACTATTCCCTTTTAATCTTTTTATAAGGGGGTATCATATCATAAACAGTTTATTTTCACTAGTTGATATTACAAGTTGAAAGGAATGAACCTGCTGGTATAGCACATTTCTTTGGCTCCCCCTTTCCCTTAAAAAGCTCAAAGATGTTACCAGTTCCAGTATTTTCCCCAGGTTATTATCTATTTTTCTGGGTCCAGTAATATTATTTGTAACTAAAGGAGAAGGTAGTAAAATTTGGAAGAGGTATCATATTTTTACAGAAATGGTATTTTTAAAGTGGTTTTCTTTGTGTGTTTCCTACACAGGAAAAAGTTTTATTAACTGAACATACTCATAAATTGCCATAAAGTGTATAATTTGTTGTTTTGTACAACTTGTCACCTTAGCTACAGGTTAGCATGGCTTAAAAAAATTACAGCTTAATATTCAAGATCCTCTGAAATTTCACTTTACGCTACTTTACCTCATTTTTCTGCTGTTCTTTGTTTACCTGATCCTCCTGCCAGGTGAAGTTTTGTATTCACAGCCCATATTTATCCTTGCATATTCATCACCAGCGTTTTCAGTTACGACTTTCTTCTGGTCTAGAAATGTGCTTCTGTTCATTGTGCCATCTTTAGTCTTTCCTGTGTTTTAAGGCACAATCATATCCACTATTACTGAAGCAAATTCTGCTTTTATTTCTATAGCTCTTTCCCTTATGATAATTTGCTGTTTTTTTAACCTCGACTTATGTATTTATCATTTCTATGAGTGTAAACTACTTGAGATAGAATATATGACAGTGTCATCTTTACATATTCCCCATTGCTGAGCATCTGGTTGATGCTTAATAAATAACTGCTAGTTGAATAAGGGTTTAGTAAATAAATGTTCATTTACTCTAGTAGTGGACCAGTTGATTAGTCATATCTAGAGCTAATATCAGCTGTTTGACCTCTTGTAAATAATGTTTGTTATTTGTGGCTTTACACTTAAGGTGACATGGATAAGTTTGAATTTACTATGGGTAGTATTACCTTTTTTTAAAACCTCTTTTCTCACTCCTTCCTTTTCTGGATAAATTAAAATGTATTTTTGGAACATTTTCTACCTGTATTAGGCTGAACATATTGGGGTTTCCAGAACCACCTCCTAACATGATTAGAAAAACTAAAAAATGAGATTGGCAAATTATTGAGGATTCTCTTTTAAGAGGCAATTATTTCTCAGAGAATCCAGAATCTCAGTCCAGCCTGCTTTATAATATCACTAACAAATTATCTTTGTGAGAGTCATATACTGAGAGCTATCTTGAATCCTCATTGCAGGGGAATTTGAAGTGAGCATTGCAGGAAGATGTTGATGATGATGATGGTATAGGAAAGCAGGGCTGGTCACTTGGTGGCTGCTCTTCGTCGGTGTCAATATAGTGTTCAGTGGGTGGGACTAATTCCTTAAGGGTGGTGTATCTTGAGTGTTTAATCCCTCTAGAAGGACCTTCTGGGGCAAGAAAACTAGAACAACAATTTATTTGTCAATAAACATTCTTTACCTCTCTCTTTTTATTAGTGTTTTAAGTTTACTATAGAGGGTTAAACATAGAAGCCCTTTTTTTTTTTTTTTTTTTTTGCATTTTTGCTTGCTGTGTTATCTTATGTGGAACAGGGCATGCACTAGGGATTAGCCACAGGTGTTTTACCCAACAGAGCACCAAGAATATATTTTGGTGGAGCAGAAGCAGGAACAGAAACTTGCTAGAAAGAGCTTCTGAGACATTTCCAAAGGAGCAAAGAACACCTAAAATTCCCTGTTTAAAAATAAAAACATTCCAAGAAATACAAATTTTAGAGACTTCCTGGTTTAGGCTGTAGCAGAATCTGTGGCACAACAGTCCATTTTTCTGTAATCATGGGAGAGAAACTGGACAAGCTCACTGTGGTCTGCTAATCTCTTAAGGGTGCAGTGTTTTATTGACTGTAGCATTATGTTTCTATCTTGTTTTGTAGACTGGTCGAAAAAATAATGGATTTTACAGAGGCTTATGCGGATACATGTTCTACGGTTGGTCTTGCTGCCAGGGAAGGCAATGTTAAAATCTTAAGGAAACTGCTTAAACAGGGCCGAAGCATTGATGTTGCTGATAACAGGGGATGGATGCCAATTCATGAAGCAGCTTATCACAACTCCATAGAATGTTTGCGGATATTAATTCATGCAGGTAAAGTAAATTCCAAGTGTGGGAGAGTGTGCCTATAAGCTGGGTTAATAAAACATAAGATAGTGTTTATTACGTGGTGGTATTTTTGTTGTTGTTGTTTGTTTGTTTTTTGAGACAGGGTTTCATTATGTAATTCATACTGGCCTTGAACTCACTATGTAGCCCAGGGTGGCCTCAGACTTGAGACAACCTGCCTCAGCTTCCTGAGTGCTGGGATTGCGGGTGTGCATCATGCCTGGCTATATGGTAGTATTTATTATTTTCCTGTAATCCTAAAATAACTTGCTTAACTTTTAAGAATGGTGAGATTGCCTGCCTTAGATTATATCAGTATGATGATCCATCTCATCATCTATAAATATTTTTCTTAATGTTGGAAATACTTGTGGTTGGCTTATTTTGATTGATTGTGCTGGATGATATGGATGAAGCATTTACTTTAATTGTATTTTTTTGTTTTTCAAACAAAAGGCATGCTACTGAAATTGAGGTTGAATGTTTTGTATGAATTAGTCCTTTAAAATATTTTTTAAACCAGGTATGGTGGTGTATACCTGTAATCCCAGGATGTGGGAGGCTGAGGCAGGAGGATTGCTCTGAGTTCAAGACCAGCCTGAACTGCATGGTGAGAGCCTGTCTCAAAAAAAACAAACAAACCAAAAACCCCAAAACGTGTCTCTCAAACTCTCAAAAAACATACTTTCAGCTTCCTTGATTTTGGGAAACTTTCCAGTTGCATAGACTTTCTATTTGCAGAAGGTGGAGCATGGGCCAACGTGCTTGCCTTTGTGGTGCTTGTACTCTTTTTAAGAGACTAGCAGCCAGTACCTAAGCAGTTCAGCAGGGTCATTTCCAAAGGTAACAATGTGTGGAGAGTGAAACTGTAGTGGGTCAGACTGTTGTGCTGTGTTGTCCATGCATCTCTGGAGCCTTACACTTGGGAACAAACCACAGTGGAAGCCTTGGTGGTACCAGAGATCAGCCAGTGCCAAAGACTAGGTTTTACCGTTGGCAGGGCCAGTGACCTGTGACCAACATACCCCCGAGTGACAGGCATGGTGTGCAGGAGAGATTCTGACCCTTGGGAGAAGGCGGATGGCAAGACCCCTAAGGTGATGAAGCACCGTTTATAACAGTATGTGCCAAATGATTGATGCACATTTTGTCTAATGTATGCAGAACTGTTAGAGACTGTGAGATACTTTATTGTGTCACTTTATTGATCAAAAGTCAAATTCTCAGGGAAGTTAACTTGTCAGAGTTTAACTAATGACCTAGAACAGTATTGGTGGACCTTTTAGGGGTTTCAGTCACAAATAACCTGTTGCAGTACGCACATCTGACTTGAACCTTTGTATCTGACTCGGAAAGCCTTGGTTTCTTTTCTGCCACACCGTGTTTCTATCTTTGAATTAAAGAAAACATTTAAAGCATTTAGTTAGTTTAAATTGAGGTGGAACATCATGTTTCATGTTGTAACACTCATTGAACATTTGTATTTCACTGATTGTGGGAATGCCAATAGTCTTCTGTGTATGTATTACCAGGATCACCAAGTTCCTATGGCTACTTAGTATTTGATAGTTCTGAGTCTATAGCACATCAGAACTACTAACTCACAGCCTGTGGGTAGGAAAGGAAATAATCCTTTCACTGGTTTTGGTAGTGCTTCTGTCCTGTCTTTTTTTTAAACTGGAAAATATACAACTTTAAAAAATTATTTCCTTTGCAGTGCAGGACTTGAACCTAAGGCCTTGGACATGCTAGGCAAGCATTCTACTTCTGAACTATGTCCCTAACCTCTCTTTTTCTTGTCCCTCTTACACAAAGGGTGAACTCTCCAAAATACAATACAGGAAGTTTGTTATGACTACTTTGAAGTAAAATATTAGATAAAGAGTCTTTGTGCTTCAGATTTCAAAAGTTTAAGATATATTTGCAGACTATGAAGGTAACTGTAAAGCTTGAGTTCTCAAACTATTTCTAGTAACAAATAAATGCATGAATTTGTGTGTTGTTTTCTTGTCAAAAAGCTCATTCCCAATATACTGTTGCTCTCTTGCCCACATCAGAATAGTGTATTTTGTATATGCTATAGATTTTTTTTCTCTACTTGCTGAATGATTACAAGCATGCTTTTAAATGAAGTTGTTTGAACTGGCAGTTCAATCTCATCTGTATTTCCTTTAGAAATTTTAAATATGAACTTTATTGTTTATGGTTATCCTTGTTTTGAGCTTGATTCTTTTGGAGGATAAAATGTAGCTACACATAGGTAGATATGTGAATAGCTGTTGATAGTGAAATGTTTTCACTGTACTCATTTGGAGTTCATCATTATGAATTAACTTTGGATAAATTTCGCATAATGCGTATGTAACGATTAGGATAGGAGTAGGAGGAAAGGAAATAGGGTTTGCAGAGAGTTGTAGTCAGGGGTTACTAGGAAAATAGTTATATATAGGACACATGATTTATTTGTAATGGTCACTCAAGGAGTCAAATACAAGAAATGCAGGAAATCTTGTCTACACACTAAAGACCCAGAGAATCCAGCTGAGAGCATGAATCCAGATGAAGGCCTAGAGCCCAAGACAGTGACTCATGTGAGTCTGTTTCACGGATCACTCTGGAAAGGCCCCAAGGTCTAAACAGCCTGTGCCAGCGAATGAAAGTCCTGTGTCAGTAGGTTGAGGCTTGTACACTGGAGCCATTAGGCGATGCTCAAAATAGGGACCAGGGCTCCCTTAAAAAGTACCACAGCTGTCTTCAGCGATGAGGTTCCAAGCTCCTCTGACAATGAGAACAGCCGAGTTCCTATCAAGAAGCCAGCGTGACAAGCTTCTGGAGCCTGAGCAGCACATGGAGCCAGGAAGCGATGCTGAAAATGGGGAACACAGCTCCCCCAAAGTGAACCACAGCCATTCTCAGTGACAAGGACCCAAGCTTTCCCAGTGGTAACGGTTGAGTTCGTATCAGAGTAACCAGCATGACAGACACTTCCTGGAGAACCAGCAGCTCCAAACAGCAGCACTCATTTAGGAGAACCCACAGTGCTACTCTCCCTCTCCACGCGTCCTTTTCAAATACACTGGCAGCAGTGGGGGGGCGGGGCTCTCTACACTCAGCACCGCACTGATTCAGTTAAGTAGGTGTTTAAGTTGGCCATCAGTTTTCAATGTACCACACAGAGGGTTTGAAGCAGTTATGTCCAGTATTGTAGGAGATAATGACAATTTTCGGTTTCAGTCCTCAGTGAATCTGGTTGTTTTTTGTGATGTTCTGAGAGTTAGAATTAATGTTCAGAAATCTCTCAGATTTTTCTAGTTCACTAACAAGAAAAATCAGATTAGAATGAAGCAGGAAAGTCACAAAGCCTTTTGAAGGCTTTTTGTTTATATGCCCCCTGGCTCATACCGCCCTTTTTACAAATTACCTCAGATCCATTCTTTGATACAATTTGATTTGAAATTTTTTGCATTGACTAATGAGGAATGAAAATTTGTTTTACAAAGTATAGGTAGCATAAAAGTACATATGAAATATATTTTTAAAGATTTTTGCTTTTTAAAAGAGTTTAAAATTTATTTATTTACTTTTTTGGTGTGGTGCTGAGATTCCAACCCAGGGTGTTACACATGGTTGGTTGCTTTCTTTTTTTTTTTTTTTTTAAATTGGTACCGGGGATCGAACTCAGGACCGCACACTTGCAAGGCAGGTGCTTATGCCACTGAGCTAAATCCCCAGCCCCTTATACATGGTTGGTAAACACTCTTGCACTGAGCTATACTCCCAGTCCTGTTTTTTTTTTTTAAAGTAATATAAAAGTTGTACATTTTTTATTCTTTTCAGAATTACAATTATTAGCACATATTGATTAGCGATATTTCTTTGTGATATTTTTATACAGGTAAATAAGATAATTCCATTACATCTACTTTTCCTGTTACTTTCTTTACCCTTAGTTCTGTTGTTCCTTTTTTCCCCCTAATTGTACTGCTATATGTCATATTTTTTTTTTCTTGTTTTCTAGAATTCACATGTGAGAAAAACTTGGTACCTGTGCTTCTGAATTAGGTTTATTTTTCTTGACATCATAATCTCCAGGTTCATGCATTTTCCTGCAAATTACATGATACTATTTTATAGTTTATGATTCAGTAGTATTTCTTTGTTCATCTACACATTTTCTTTATCCATTCATCTGTTGATGTGCATGTAGGCTGATTCCATAACTTGGCTGTTATAAATAGTGCTGTGATAACATGGGTATGCACACATCTCTGTTATATGCTTACTTTGAGTTCTTTGGGTTTAAACCTGGGAGGGCCATATAGCTGAATCATAGGGTAATTTATATTTTGTGTTTTGAGGAATCTCTGTATTGTTTTCATAGTCCTGTACTAACCAACATTCTCATCGATAGTGTATATGGATTCTTTTCCGCCTTAATCTTTGCCTGCATTTTTTATTTGTTGATAATAGCCATTGTATCTTGGGTAAGACAAAATCTCAATGTAATTTTGATTTGCATTTGCCTAATGAATACAAAGACATTAATCCTTTTTCATAAAAATTAACCATTTTTTTTTTTGAGAAATGTCTATTTTGCACATTTTGAGTTTTTGTATATTCTGGATATTAATCCTCTGTCAGGTAAGTAGCTGGCAAAGTCTCTTCTATTTTGTAGGTGTTCGTTTCATCCTGTTGTTTCCTTTGTTGTACAGAAGATTTTAAGTCTGTTATAATTCCACTTGTTAGTTCTTACTACCATCTGAGCTACTGGAGTTGTGTTCAGGAAGTCATTGCTTATATCAGCATCTTTTATTACTGCTTCAAGCTCATTGCTTGTTATTGATAGGTTAGGTTTTTTTTTTATATCCTGTTCAATTTTAGTAGGCCATATGTCTAGAAATTTATCTGTAGATTTCCCAGGTTATTGGAATAATTTTTCAGCAGTTGGCTCTTGTTTTGAAAGTATTATATTATGAGAGGCTGAG